GTGACCAATAGGAAGACATTCCAAAACAAGATTTTTCCAGAATTGAATTCTAAGAAACACACACCGTCACCAACCGTTTGATTTTTACGAAATTGCGGAATTGCGGATTTGCGCAAAGCTCTTGTTGCGGAATTGCGCAAAACTTGAGTTTCGCAAAAGCGGAATAGGGCAATTTTGCGCGAAATGACTTTTGCGAATGATTGCGCAAATTGTTGTTTTTTCGCGCAAAATTGATGCGCAAAGAAAGAAAAATATTGCGTGTCGTTCCGCAAAAATTGCGCAAAAGTTTTGCGAATGGAAACCCTAATTCAATTATAATGTAATTTTTAAGCTTTCTTCCAGGCATTAAATTGCCCTTCACCCTTTGGAAGAAACCAGATTTTTTTTACGATGGGGGTGGGGGGGAAGTCAAAGAAAACCTTAACCCTTTGCTTTTTTCATCCTTGTTTTCTTAAAGCAAGGTATTGACAAACATGAAATATTTGGCACTCACACCAATCTTGCAAAATTATTTGCAGAGATTTTCTATTTTTGCACTCCGCAAACACTTAAATATTGTGTTAGTGTATGCCAGTATATAGAGGGGGGGGGGCAGTAAGGGAGAGATTCTTAGAGAGAAAATATAATTTTTACAGTGATAACGAAAAAACTCTGGAATAGGAAGTCGACTTTTAGACTCAAGATATTACTTTGAATAGTTCAGAGGACATAAGGAGCAACAATTATGCAGTTTAAACAGACCCATTTTACTAAACAAGTGATCTAAGAATTATAAGTAAAGCTATTTGCGTTTTAACAACATCAAATGCACTTCAATGATAAATAATGTCGTCTTCCTATTCTATATTTTTTTTGGCTATTACTGTTTGAAAAAATATTCCTATTATAATATAAATTCATAGAGTTATGATATCAAATTTTTTAAATTTTTCCTTGAGAAAGAAAAGTATGATTTTACCCCTCCTCTTCCCGCCCCCTCCCCCATTAAAACTGAAAGATGTCCCCTGCCCCTCCCAGTCTGTTGGGCCCCTAAGAAATGCAGAACCAGCCTGTATCTCCACTCTACACAGTGGGTGTCTTCATTCATCTCTCTTTCATTCATTCATTCATCCATTCATTCATCCTGAATATTAATTTATTCATCCTTCTATCATTTATTCATTCATCCTTATTTCAGTTATTTGTCTTTCTTTGATTCATTTATCCTTCTCTCATTCATCCTTCCTTCTCTCATTCATTTATCCTCCTTTCTTTCTCAATAGTGCATCCTGAGTAATGGTTCTCAATAGTTCGTCCTGAGTAATGGTTTTCAATCACCTCTCTGTTCCCTTCTATTTGTTTTGTTTGTTTAGAATATATTCGAATTTTGTTGGTTAAGTGTAGAGAGTAGAGTAGAGAAGGTGTTTAAAACACGCAGAGACATTATCTTACAGTAGGCGCCAGCCGGACTCTACTAGAGTTCAGAAATTTTCAGTATGTGGACAGAGACCAGAAATACGTAGGGATTTATTTATAAACTAGAAATAGTAAATAAATGTATACATGATACGTACGTCTATAATATAACGTAACAATAATGAAAGAATGTTCAAGTTCTTGTTTACTAAATAACCTAGTTTTCTAGAGTTTTTTTTTTTCAGGGATATGTGACAATTTTTTTTAAAAAACATATTATGTTTGGTTTGAACTTTATTTTCCCCTCTTTAAAATCCAAGTTTTATTATATGTATACAAATAAAGATATGATAAAAAAGGGTTCCAGCCACACCCCTAGTACGTCCCTGTGAAAGTTAGGAGATTTAGGGGGGCCTGGCCCCTTGGGTTCTCGCCCCCCCCCACTCAGTACGCCCCTGTACTAAATAAAATAATTTTCGGGAGACATTTATTATTATTTTTTTAAACTGAATATGTTAGGGTTGGAGAGGGGGGGACCCTATTAAGTATTAAATATTTTATTTTGAAATTTTCAGAAAATATTAAGTTTTCAGTGTTTCTGTCAACTCTTTTTTTATCTACATTAGTTTCTGAATTTAGTTTCTGTTCTAAGGGAGTGACAGTGCAAAGAACAGAAGGGGTAGCTGAGAGGGAAAATAAAAATTATTATAGGGAAACATATATGTTTGATTTTTTACTTTTTTTTAGAAAGAAGCCAACCGCTTACCGAAAAATTGTTTATTTAGATATAACAATTATGCAATTTAATAAGAAAATTTGATAATCTACAAAATTCCGGCCTTTAAGATCGATTAATGTAATTTTCGGAGAAATTACTACATACATAAAAAATTTATCCCAAAAAATGATTAATAAAAAGTAGTTTTAGACTATTATTTGACTTATTTGTTCCTAATAACTTTGGATATAGTTTTAAAATCAGAATTCAGCTTAAAATAAAACCACCTGGTTGTATTTTTTTCTTTTGCTTGCATGGTTAAGTGATTTATAATATATATAATGATTTGATCAGAATAGAGAATGAACAGAATATTGATAAAAATTGTGTCCATCTTTCATTTTATGTTTATTTTAACCACTCATGGTTCAATCTGTCAGTAATATATTTAAACATATAAAAACAATAGATTTTTTAGCCTATGTTACTCTTAGGGTAGGGTACCCATTGGTTTCCTCAAAAATATATTCAGCCATTTCGGTTCAGCCGTTTGGCATGCTATAGCTAACTTATATATATATATATATATATGAGCAGCTTTATCATATAGATTTACTTTAATTATGTACTTTAAAAAAATGAAGCAAAATCTTAAACAAATAAAATCCTAGTTTTCCAGTATCATAACCTCAGAAGTATCAGAAAAAAAAACATTTAACAAAAATTTATTTTTAAAACGCATTAAAGTTTGACAGGTGTCATGGCGCCCTGATGTTAGAATATACAGCTGTAAAGTGTCATGGCGCCTACCTAATAGAAAAAACAGCTGCACGAAAACAATCAAATAATTCTCACCCTGTCTGTTTTTATCACGTTATGTGTGAGCGTTTTATTCTTTAATCCCCATGTACAATATATTATATTTGTCTTGTTGGGTAAATTGTACAATGTCACACAGGTCTGCCGCTTTAGTAATTGTAAATTGGCGGTACAGTACAAACCGAAAAGTAATAGGCAAGGAAAGTTGATTGCTGATGCAAATTCTCTGCGTACATATTAAAACCAGTTTTTCTGGGCAGTGTATGTAAAGAAGAATAGTTGCATCAGTGTTCCTTTAGTATCCGAGGAGGATAATAGCATTTAATTCGGAAATTTTGATAATTCATATAATAGTTTCCTATGACTATGAATATTTCATTGATTTTTTATGGATCCCATGTCAGGCTGTGACATCCGTCTTGTGTTTACTTCACATCCTAAAGACAGTACACTGCAGTACAAAAAATGCGTACACCTTTGAAATAACTATCTTTACATTATAATTCTTTGGTCCAAACAAGGACCATAAGGTTGGCCCAGCTCGTATATTCAAATGTACACTGGTTGTGTGTGTACTTAGATATAATATATAAGATATAATATCTTGCAGAGTGTACATGCAGTGTACATAGGTGTTAGTAAGATAGAATATCCTGTATATTAGAAAACATTCCCCCACCCCTTGAAATATTTTTCTCATTTTCTATTTCACGAAAATTTCGCATTTTTTCGTGAAACATTGAAGCAAAATTTGCCAAAATTTTCGCATTTTTCGCGAGCGAACGAAAAGCAAAAAATGCAAAAAAAATCGCGAAATTTTTTTGCAAAAAATGCACAATCTTCGTTAAACAATTTTTCCATTTCGCTGCAAACCCTAGGTAGAATTCATAGAATATCCTAATTACTTGCAACTAAGCAAAGTTTTTCTTTTAAATTTCCATTAAACTTCTCCAATTTACAATACATTGCTGTACTATTTATTTTCTCAGTTACTCTTAAATCATCCATTAATTCCATCCTAATAGGTAAACCGGAAAACTGGATAACTGGATAACTAGATAGCTGGATAGCTGAATAGCTGGAAAAGTGGATAGCCGGACAACTGGATATTGCAACTTAGAACTGTTTCTTAAGTCATGAATACTACAAGCTGTATGGATGGTTTTGATTTGTGTTTAAACAAGTTTATTGACGCCCACCATTGTTATTTTTCTGGATTTATACAAGGATATTATAAGTATCTTAAGACGTTGCCCCCCCCCTCTAACGTCTACCCTTCCTTTCCCCCTCCTCTCAGGGGAAATTAAAAGCTTTTAGCTCTAATACCAAAATAAATATAGTTTAACGCGTTGGCGCCTTTCACAGGCATAGACAAAACAGAACAGATAGGCGTTCCTGCCCTCCCCTCCTCCCCCTATTCTTCTCTTCTCCCCCTCACCTTCTTACCTCCTTCATTCTTCTCTTCTGCCCCTCCTTGTCTTCTCTTATTCTCCCCCTCCCATCCTCACCTTCCCCCTCCACTTCTTTCTTTCTCCTCATCCCGGTTCCCTTCTTTTCTTCTCACCACTCCCATTATTTCCTCCCCCCCCTTCTCTTTCCTTTCCACTCTTCCGGACACCTCTTTCAATACAGGGGTACCCACAAAGGATGAGATTTAATGACTATTTAAATGAAAAGACCTGATTAATTAATTTAGTTTTCTGCATTCTGTTTTCTGAACTTCAGAAGTCGCATACTTTGTGGGTAACTCTGACCCTTTATAATGTATAAAAATGGAGATGAGTAATGGAGTTTGATAATATTTTCGAAAAATAATCTAAGTAAAGATACAGGAATGCCATGCCGCCATTACCAATTATAAAAATGATTATATCTATTTAATTGAAATTTTCTGGTCACGATGTTTTATACAGCAAAGACGATCGAAAAAAAAATGATTTTTTTCGAACGTTGAAATCTCTTCTTTGTTAATCAGAATGTACAATGTTGAAGTTACCCTTTATTTAAGGATCTCAAAAACTTTGAATTTGACTATATAGTCTCTAGACCTTTGATTCATATATATTAACATATTTCAGTTTTTAACTTCACATTTTTATTAAAAAAAGAATTATACTAAACACAATGTTTCACGTCTATCATGACGATCCTCAGTAGCTACAATTCTTTGAACAACATATATATAGCCCATGAAGTACATTGTACAAAACTAACCCTTACATTTATGCAGATCTTCAGTTTTTAAATATTTTTATAATTTTTTATGCATAAAGTATCAAGATTCCTTTCTCGTCGATTTTTAATCTCAAAAATATCAACAGTTGAGGCATTTCGCCAATAAGAAATTGATGGTGCATACCGGCGCCTATGCCCCCCTCTACAGTCTATACTTTGTATATCCATGCGCTGCTCTGGTGCCGTAGCGTCGCCCCCCCCCCTCCCCCTCCTACTTATACTGTGTCCTTTCAAATATATAAACCTTAGTTTAGTTTAGTTTAGTCTAGTCCGATACTCGGAGCTGTGAGGAGGATGTTTGATCCAAACCAAACTAAACAGTTAAAAACCTACGGAAAAGATTATTGTAAAATCCACAAACATGAAAATATGAAAATCCAGGAGAAATTTCAAATAAAACTATGTGATATAATTAGCTCCCTTGAAGTAAGCAGATATGTTCGAAGGCTTAGTAACCGGCTTCGGCGTAGTTTAGAAAAACATAAAAAACATTTAAGAACACATTTGCCTTCTTGTTTGTGTTTTAATAAACCTAGTAAACAGATTGTAGAAAATGAAAACACAGGTATTTTATGTAAATCTACACAGATAAACTAGTATTTACTTGAATATCTGCTGATTGCTTTGTAAATAAATATTTACAATTATCTTACACTATCCATATTAAATGTATGCAATTGTTATTTGTTATAATATAATGTTATTTCAAACGTTAAAAAACCGTGTTAAAAAGTGAACAAGTATTTTTTTCAAATTTTATTGACACAAACTCTTTAAAAAATGTTGACATAAGTATTTTCTATTTGATTTTTACAATATTTTTTATCAGTGAAATATGACTCGACGAAATAGTAAATTACTGCTGGCGCCAGTCAAAGGGGCCAGGTCTGCACTGTGNGGGATAAATTCATTCAAGGCTGCAGGCTTTAAATAGGTTTATTAAAATCCAGCCTCAATGTTGAATTAGAATTATAGAAAATAATTCAATTCTAGGAGAAAAGCTAAAACACATCTCTGTTCGCATGTTAACGATATAAGAATCGTATGAGAATTAAAGTAATAATTCAAAAACCTCTGGTAAAAATTTGCAAAACTTGTTCAGTAGGTTTGAAACTAATGAAGATTTATCAAGCACCTGAATTAAACTACGATCAAAATGAAAGTATTTTCACACCTCACTACGTTTGGTTTGAAAATACTTTCATTTAAATCTCAAACAAACTAGAAAAAGTAAAAATCCCGACAAAAACTTTTTCGCACATAATAATACCCATTTCAATAACATACATAGATATAAACTTATTGATGAATAGTTAATGAAAACCCTTCCAAATTTTTAAGCTATGTTAAGAGATTAACCTAGTCAACTCTAACAGCCAGTAATCAACCTTGTTTTTTCACTATAATAGATCTACCAAATACCTTTAAAACTATTTTTACTTATCAATCTATCAACTTCTAATCATCTTCTGTTACATTCTACATTGTGTTATCAACTGACCTACCAACTATAGAACTACTTTGTCTAATTAACCTAAGCTAAGCTATGTAGTAAACCCAGTAATAATAAACTAAATGTTTAGATGTAACCAAGTGGTGTACCCTGGCCTACTGGGAGGGGGAGATGAGAGTAGGCCGACTGTTCCCAGTGACGTCATCACATGTACAATTGTTTACTATTCTACCCCGGGCTGGACCGGATACACAGTCCTTGTGTTTACGAAGTATAGGAGAAAAAGATAATCCACATCCACCAGATTCAGTCCTCAGAGCCAGGGACAAAATTGGATTAGGTAATTGGAATAAAATATGCAATAAATAGAAATACTTAGCAATTGTAGCTGCCTGGTTTATGGATGCTCAGAACTACAAATATGTTTATTGTACAGTGCATTGAAAATATGGTATCGTGCTCAAAAATGATTAAATAAACTTGCAAGTTGGACCTAGACCAGGTCTCGACTCAGTTTTAATTCAAATAAAATCTTAAATTCAATGAATAAATATATTGATAAATTATCTTGATTTAAAACTTGTAATTGCGTATTCAAGGTCGACTATATTTGCAAACAATCTGCAGAAAAAATCTTGATCTTGATACATTCTTTAATACTCAAGATTTTAGATACAGTGAAACCCTTAATAAAGAATTTATCGAAAGAATTCATCAAATGTCGTATTCCTCACTTTCTGATAATGGAATGTTGCAGATATTTAGTTTTTTAATTAAATGATTAG